TACACATTATAATCCTGACCTTTTGGCGTTGGAAGACATGCTCGACATCATCTAGCCCAGTCTTTTTATTTTGTAGTGAAGTAACCCAGTCTTACAGAATTTGAGTTATTTCTTTCATGAAGAAAGAAATGAATGAAACAGACAGAAAGAAACAATGGACTCCTTGGACATAAAAAATACATATATCAGCTAACATTTATGGACTATGCAGAGAACTTTACATGAATTATCTCATCTTATCCTTATAACTCCTTGTGTTGAAATTACCCATGTCTCCATTTGAGGAAACCAATCCACCAAAGGTTAAATAACATGGCCAAGGTCATATAACTAGTGGTGAAACTGGGATTCATTATTCAAGAGCCCAGTCTTTTAACCATCATTTCACAGTAGAGAGCTGAGGTCATGCTAAGGGAGCTGAATAAGGCTGAGATTTGGTGTCACACTGCTTCTGGTAGATGTCAACTGCTGCAGACTCCAAAGATGACTTTTTTTGGGGGGGGTTGTATATCTCTTTTTAAAAAATGTTTTATTTTTATACACTTTTTAAAGGTTTCTTCCCATTTACAGTTATTTCAAAATATTGGCTATATTCCCTGCATTGTACAATACATCCTTGCACCAATTTTACACTCAATAGTTTATACTTCCCACTCTCCCATCCTTTTATTGTCCCTGCCCGCTTCCCCACTGGTAACCACTGGTTTGTTCTCTATATTTGTGAGTCTGCTTCTTTTATATTATATTCACTAATTTGCTGTATTTTTTAGATTCCGCATACAAGTGATATCATATGGTATTTATCTTTCTCTGACTTATTTCACTTAGCATAATGCCCTCCAAGTCCATCCATGTTGCTGCAAATGGCAAAATTTTGTTCTTTTTTATGGCCGACTAGCATTCCATCATATATATATACCACAGCTTCTTTATCCATTCATCTGTTGATGGATACTTAGGATGTTTCCATACCTTGGCTATTATAAATAAAGCTGCTATAAACATTGGAGTGCATGTATCTTTATGAATTAGTGTTTTTGGTTTTTTTGGATATATACCCAGTTCATATGGTAGTTCTATTTTTAGGGTTTTTTTTGAGAAACTTCCATACTGTTTTCCACAGTGGCTGCACCAATTTACATTCCCACCAAAAGTGTACAAGGGTTCCCTTTTCTCCACATCCTCCCAAAATTTGTTATTTGTAGACCAAAGATGGTTTCTATTTGGAAGGCTGTATAAGCAATGAAGGAAAAGTGAATACAGCATCACTTTGGATTTATATAAGAATATTCTTTCAAGGGGGTTCAAGTTCATTTATCTCATTTTTCCCCCATAAAACTCTCAAGCCAAATTCAGAGAGGTGCTATGATACATCTCATTTCAAGGATTTACTTATTCGATAAATATAAACCAAGGGCCTACTATATGTCAGGCACTTTCTAAATGATTGGACATACTGGTGAAAAAAACAGATGGTGATCCCTGCCTGTATGGAACTTCCACTTCCAGTGATGAGAAACTCAGACAGAAGAAACAGACTCAAAGGATTACAGAGCAAGAGAAGCAGGACATTTGGGCAAGAATTTAGCTTTCCCAACTTTCTCTCCTCTTTATTGCTTTACCTCTCCAGCAGAGATTGCCAGGAAGCAAATGCTTTCAAGCATGTACGTAGTTCTCCCATTTATTTATGTACACGTTCATGGCAAAATACTTGTACTCCTGGCAGCAGTGACAATTTTCAAGTTAGATTTAGAAGCTCTGATCTGCTTCATAACTGTATGTTTAAATCATCTCAAAACAGAGAAGAATTTGTCAAAATGTAAAAGATCACACTGTAGAAAGCAAAATTCAATAATCTGCCCAGTAATCTGCTACCCTATCTGACAACCTCATCCGTCACCACCTTACAGCAGGCTAGAGACTGCTTTTTGGGTGATAACTTTCAACCTATTTTACTCTTAGTATCATACAAATGATGCCCTGAAGACATTATCTTTCAAGGCCATAATTTACAAATGAAATAAAAACATTTTAATGTACTCATTTAAAATAATTACTATAAACACCTCTGATAATTTTATTACTTATTTTTTAGACAATTCATAGTACTCTAGACAAATTTCCTTTTAAAAAAATTTACTTAGATTTTGTACCTGTATTTTTAGATTATAACAAGACCAAAAGACAGCCCTCAGAATGGGAGAAAATATTTGCAAATGAATCAACTGACAAAGGATTAATCTCTAAAATTTACAGGCAGCTCAATAACAAACAAATAAACAACCCAATCCAAAAATGGGCAGAAGACCTAAATAGACATTTCTCCAAAGAAGATATACAGACTGCCAAGACTGCCAACAAACACATGAAAGAATGCTCAACATCATTAATCATTAGAGAAATGCAAATCAAAACTACAATGAGATATCATCTCACACCAGTCAGAATGGCCATCATCAAAAAATCTAGAAACAATAAATGCTGGAGAGGGTGTGGAGAAAAGGGAACACTCTTGCACTGCTGGTGGGAATGTGAATTGGTTCAGCCACTATGGAGAACAGTATGGAGGTTCCTTAAAAAACTACAAATAGAACTACCATATGACCCAGCAATCCCACTACTAGGTATATACCCTGAGGAAACCAGAATTCAGAAAGAGTCATGTACCAAAATGTTCATTGCAGCTCTATTTACAATAGCCCGGAGATGGAAACAACCTAAGTGCCCGCCGTCGGATGAATGGATAAAGAAGATGTGGCACATATATACAATGGAATATTACTCAGCCATAAAAAGAAACGAAATTGAGCTATTTGTAATGAGGTGGATAGATCTAGAGTCTGTCATACAGAGTGAAGTAAGTCAGAAAGAGAAGGACAAATACCGTATGCTAACACATATATATGGAATTTAAGAAAAAAAAAATGTTATGAAGAACCTAGGGGTAAAACAGGAATAAAGACAGAGACCTACTGGAGAACAGACTTGAGGATATGGGGAGGGGGAAGGGTGAGGTGTGTTAGGGCGAGAGAGAGACATGGACATATATATACTAACAAACGTAAGGTAGATAGCCAGTGGGAAGCAGCCGCATGGCACAGGGAAACCGGCTCGGTTCTTTGTGGCTGTCTGGAGGGGTGGGATAGGGAGGGTGGGAGGGAGGGAGACAAAGAGGGAAGAGATATGGGAACATATATATATGTATAACTGACTCACTCTGTTATAAAGCAGAAACTAACACACCACCATTGTAAAGCAATTATACCCCAATAAAGATGTTAAAAAAAAAAAAAAGAATTCTTCATGGACTTCCCTGGTGGCGCAGTGGTTAAGAATCCGCCTACCAATGCAGGGGACATGGGTTCAAGCCCTGGTCCAGGAAGATCCCACATGCCACGGAGCAAATAAGGCCGGTGCCACAACTACTGAGCCCACATGCCACAACTTATGAAGTCCACACACCTAGAGTCCATGCTCCACAACAAGAGAAGCCACCGCAATGAGAAGCCTTTGCACCGAACTGAAGAGTAGCCCTGGCTCGCCGCAACTAGAGAAAGCCTGCGTGCAGCAACGAAGACCCAACGCAGCCAAAAATAAATTTATTAAAAAAAAAAAAATTCTTCAACCTTCTGGATGAATCTATCGTACCATCCTTTCACAAAAAGCCAGATTACACTTTCCCCAAAAGACAGTTAAGAGATGTTTTTCCAAGGCTTGGAAGAAGACAATAGTGGCAGAGAGCAGGAGCCCTTTACCTGGGCTCTTGGCATTTCTAACACTGTCAAAGCGTACTAGGATTAGTGCTTCTTCCTATCCACTAGGGTTTATAATTCAAACACGTGCTTATACTTGTCTTAGCACTTGCATATTATAAATAGCACTGTAGAAACAATGATCAAAAAGCCTATGGGATATATTTAAGAGGAAGGCTTTGAAATGCCACAGGATCAGCCTTATGAAGGATATTTTAAGTGTGGCTTTCCTAAACTTAGGAGCCACTCACGACTGTCTTCTGATGATTGAATTGGAGTCCTAGAGTGGGCTCTTGTGGGCTATCTCCTGTCTCCAGGCCCCGATTTGACTAACATCACAGAATGAAGCTATCAAAAAGGAGTCTGTGTTCTTCAAGCCTGGGAAAAACAGATTAAATTCACTCAGCACATCTGCCTTAGGGAATCCGAAACCTCCCTGATATATCTACCTAGTAATTTGTGCCCTTTACAGAATGATTGAACTCAACTTTGTGTCTCTACAGAGTTCAGGGTTCATTTTAC